GGGCAAAAAAGTAAAAATCCCATTTTTGGGATTTTCATTCCTATTTTTGGGAATTGCGGGATGCCCTTTGACCTTTTCAATTATTTTTTTTGCATTTTCTTATTTTAAATGACAAATTTAACAAGCGTTGCCTATTATGCTTAAATTTTCAAAAATTTATAACTATTTTTTACCTAAATTTTTTCGACAGATCATTTCGTTCTGTTTCGTTTATGATCATGTAGGTAAAAATATACAGGTAATGATAATTTCGATTCATTCAGGTTATAGTAATATAGTCCTAAATGTTAATAGGTAGACAATTTGTAATTTTTTACTTTGAAATATCTGTATCGGAAATGACAAGAATTGGTATATAAGTAAACTTCTTAGATTTTAAGTACCATATTTAATAAATCTACAATGAAGATTACATTAAACGAAGAGTTGTGTTCCGTTTTATGGAGTGTATCTTCAAAAGGGCCAGAAAGAATTGAAGACATTTCAAATTATATAAAAACTACATATAGTAGAAAAGTAGACAAAACAGGCATATCAAAAATTGAAAACTTTTTGATGTAAAAAGTAAGTCTGTGGATGGAAATCAAAAGAAATTTCTATTAAAATTTTGTAGTTGGATGGAAACTACTACGGAAATCTCAACTTTCAACACATCAACAGGAGCGCCTTGCAAGTCATACGAAGACTTATGTTCAAGGTCAAAAAAAAAAAGAGGGTCACACAAAAACTTTTTTCAATCTCAAATGAGGAAATTGCTGATACATTTAACGAAATGCTGAAAAAGGAAAACCAACCTATGGATGTCTTACATATTGCAACTATTCTTCCTAATGCATCACCAAAACGACTTAAGCGAATTGTGGAAAGTATACCAACTCCAACATCACAATCAGATTTTACTGAAGAGGAAGCAATAGCGCTTATGTTGGAACTGGGTCTCAGTCGAAATAAGTACCAAATATTAAGGAAAGCTCTGCATGAAAAAGGACACAATATATTACCATCATAGAAGGCGATCTAGGAAAAAAAACAAACTATCCTACCATCACCTATTGCTGTTAATGATGTGGAAGCTTGTATTGATATATCATCTTTGCTCGAAAACACAGGATCAAGAATTGTGTCAGACTTTTCAGAAGACCAACTAAGGAAAATTCATAACTGTGATGTTGTCTTAATATGTAAGTGGGGATGTGACGGTTTATCAGCACTTCCAGAATACAAACAAGCTTGTGGAAGTCGGACATTAGCAGACTACAAAAGTGTATTTATGTCATCATTAGTGCCATTACGAATTCGTTCATATTCCCTTAATCCATCATCGTCAAGCATCGGAAATTCATTTGAAGATATATATATCAATACAACTCCGGGTTCAAAAAATTTTTGTAGACCCATTGGATTTGAACATATAAAGGAGTCAAAGAAAACAACAAACGATTTAGTGGAATATTTAAAAGATGAAATAAATGCACTGGAGCCCATTTGCATAAAAATAAAGGAATTCTCTATTAACGTATCATATCAGCTAAGCTTAACAATGATTGATGGAAAGGTCAGCAATGCCATAACAGAAACTTCTTCCTTCTGGAGATGCTCAATATGTAATGAGAAAAAGTCGCAATTCTCAAATATAAACAAAAGCAGAAGTATTAATGAAGAAGACCTGTCTTTCGGAATTTCACCACTTCATGCCGGAATACGATTTTTGGATTACTTTTTACACATAGCATACGACCTCAAATATAGAAGTGTGCCAGAGAATCTTACTAAATCAACAAAAAATAATGAAGAATTGAAAGAACTGAGAGCTGCGGAAAAAAGCAGAATCCAAGAAGAATTTAAAGTTCAGATGGGATTAAACATCGACAAACCACTTTCAAGTTGCGGTAGTACAAATGACGGTAATACGGCGAGAAGGTTTTTTCGTGATTTTGAAATTACTTCAAAAATAACTGGAATCGACAAGGAGTTGCTTCGAAGAGTTAACACTATTTTAATGGCACTGAATAGTAAACATAAAATTAATGGAAATCGATTTGGGGAATATACATCTGAAATTTCTAAATTACTTGTATCTCTGTATCCATGGAGGGAACTAACACCAACAGTACACAAAGTATTGTGTCATGGTCAAATAATAATTGAATCGAATATTCTTCCACTTGGAGAGTTAACAGAAGAAGCCCAGGAAGCGAGGAATCGAGATTTTAAGCATGTTCAACTATTCAGCTCAAGAAAATGCTCCAGGCAATCACAGAATGAAGATATTTTTAATAGTTTACTTCTATCTTCTGATCCTGTTCTTTCAACTATGCGAAAAAGATGGATTTGTTATGAAACTCTATCATCTCAAAACAAGGAAGATTTAAAGGACTTATATTACCTTCTGGATATGTATACCGATATGACAGATTATTTTATAGAAAAATGTTAGGAATTAACTATATAAGTAGGTTGTAAGAATTAATTGTATTATGTTTAAGATAAACATTTCAAATAAAAAAAGCTATTATACTAACTGATGATATTGTATTAAATTGTGTTTTATATTTCAGTGGGCGGGAAAGGTGGTTTGTGTGGGGTGATTTAGGTGTTGTTGTGCGAGGCTCATAATAAAATTATAACTTTTTATTGTATATACAATGTTATAGTCTTTAATAAAAAAATTAACTAAATAATTTTAAAAATTGTCCAAATATTTTATTCAACACCAAATGTATGTTCTGTCATACTTAATACTAAAATATGAAAAAGATGAAATTAAAGGACACAGGTTTAAATGAACATATTTTTGAATGTAATTGAGATATTGGCTTGAAATTTTTTGTAAAGGGTCGAGAATTTCCATATCTAACTAAAAAATGATAATAAGGGATAAATATGGACTAAATTGTTGTAGCTATCTGCGAACCTATTAAAATTTTGATATAAATCATAGTTTTAGAAATTAAACAAATATGTAATATATGACAAAATCTTTATTTATGAACAAAACTCAATGAAATTTTCAACGCTTGTTAAATTTGTCATTTAAAATAAGAAAATGCAAAAAAAATAATTGAAAAGGTCAAAGGGCATCCCGCAATTCCCAAAAATAGGAATGAAAATCCCAAAAATGGGATTTTTTACTTTTTTGCCCATAGGGTCCACATTTCTTTCAGGGCTGGGAAAATACTTTTGGAGTAAATAGAAAACATATTGAGGTTTCCAAAAGTGCTTTCAGTTTTCTGATCCCAGCTTTGGGATTTTAGAACATGTCGCCCAAAGTTGAAGTTTTGATAAAAAATAGGTCACATTCGGAAGGACGCAGTGGCAACATTTTCAAAAAATAGGACAAGTTTTTTACGCCAAAGCGTTCTGCGTAAAGATACCTTTTAGAAAACTATAAAATTGTTATATGTTCTTAAAGAAAATTTTATTTTATTAATAAAAGAGTTAAGACACATTTTTGGCAAAAAAACGCCAAAAATCTAAAATTTTTTGAATTTTTAAATTAAAAAACGTATATTTTTAGATCAGTAAATGATATTGATCTGAAATTTTTTGTATATTATTGGAAATTTTGTTGTCTAACTAACAAGAAAAAATTGAGTCCATTTGGTCCAAAATTACGCCCGGTATTCAAAAAAAGGCGGACCAAGGTATGGTAAATTTTGTATCACTAAATTTTTAAATGCCTATAACACGGATATTATAAGAGATAAGTAGTATGTTTTTTCAAGATCTCGTCGAGCGCTTTCACAAAATATAAAAATCTTTGTATTTGGGTGAAAAACAAAAAAATGGCACGAGTTTAAAAATTTTACATGTCGTAGGTACCCTACTTTGAGCCGCCACAGCGCCGTCCCTGTGGCATCTGCAGGGTTCATCTTCAAAACTTAAACTCGAATACTCCTTGGCTACGCTCACGCCGTTTAGAAATGCCAGATTTATTTCCAAAAAATTTCCATTCTGCCCCACTGTGCATGGTGTATTTGTTTTACAAATACTTTGTGGTGTACTAGTGCACGTCTTTAATATGGACTCAAAAATCGTCCTTCCTGGTGTAATTAGAAGGACGATTTTTAGGAAACGGTTATAAGGGAATATCTAAATTTTTCGAAGAAAATTTTTGACACAATTATTGTTCCTATGCATCGCCAGTATCACGCAGCAATACAAAGTAAAGGATACCCAACTATATTATGAGTTACTGACAAGTTCTGACCGTTTTTGTTACGATAATACCAAAGTTTCCATTGTTTTGTCAGTAACAGAAAACCAAATACTTTAATCTTGTTTTATTTTATTTATTTTTTTTTAATGAATTATTTTCATAGATTTTTATTAATTTAAGTAAATAAGTATATAAAGTAAGTTTAAAATGCCTATAAATTAACAATAAAAACGAATTATTGTAAATTTCGACTTAAGAAAGATTCAATAAAGAATAAATAATAAAAACTATAACTTTATAGTTCAGTACATTTACTCTATTGATTCTAAAGTAATATTCAAAAAATCAAATTTTATAAAAACCTCAAACAAATTTATTTATTTTTATATGTAGTTAGGATATGGAACTAGTACCAAACTAGTATTTTACTAGTACCAAAATCACCGGTACTAGTTCCATCTTACCCAGTTTGTACTAGTGAATGCTGTTCTAGTATTAGTACTAGTGGCGTTAAGACAATTATCACTTCATTTCCTGCAGGGTTAGAGTACATATGGTACATATAGGCACTTTTTCCGATTTTGTGTGAAAATAGTACATTTTTCATGAAAATTAATGTCCAATTCGACCTCATGCATTTAAGGTTCAAATTCTATTATATAAGTATGTATATGAAATTTTAAATCTTCATTTAAATTAAAAAATTTTGCAACAAACATACAAAATGCATTTTATAATGTATTGTATCTTTTGGTATACGTATATCTACTTAAAAAGTTTAATATTATTTATTTATTCTTGATTTTTTATTTAAAATTGTATTTTAATATATCTCTTTTAGAACTCCGGTCGTATCAGCTATTTTATATCACGAAAAACGGGATTACGTGTAACTGATTTGGTGCAACCATTATTGCGTGTCGCAGACCCTAAAATTGCTAGTTTGAAGGGCCGAATTTTGCAAGGAAAATCCATGGGACGAACAGATGTTCAAGTTAAAAACTGTAAATGATTTAAAAAATATTCTTGTATTAAATGCATATTTTGTAGGTTTTGTCACCAATCACTGGACGAGTAATTGGAGCTAAAGAAATAAGGGTCGGCAGTGATAAAGTAAGCTTAGTAAAACTAATTGTACGTGTTGTGTCTGGACTGCAATTAACAATAACTCCAGATAATACCATAGAAAATGGATATATTGCAGAAACCGCTGTGACGCATAAACTTACAGCTCAATATCAAGAAGGACTGTTGGATATAGATCTAGAATTTTCCGACGGCTCCAAAACTCCATTAAGGTAAAAAATACATTTATTATTACTAATAACTGATTTACTATTCTACATGTCGCTCATTTACTACTACTAATCCAATATGCGTTTTTTGAACTGAGGGCTACAAAACATGCGTCATACTAAAGTATTTCATAAAGATTTATCAAATTTAAATTTTAAAATATGTCTATTATTTTCGGTGTGAGATTGATTTTTTGTTGTGAAAGTAAAAACCAAAAATCGTGTTTTCAAGAATATCAGATAATTAAAAACTAAATTTATTAAAAGTTATTTAAAAAAGAGTAAAATGTCGTTAAACATTCAAAACCACTATATCTGTAATATGCATATAGACTAAAGACTAGTCAATATTCTGGACTATAGAGTGTTCTATAGTCTGGGCTACAGTCTAGTCTATAATCAGGACTTAGACTATTCTATAGGCTGGACTATAGCCTAATCTTTGGACTGACTATAGGTCAAATTGCTTTGACCAGCACTACAAAGATCAGTAAAACCATCACACGTTTCTCTACAGACAACAGCAATAATGGAATTGTTGTGTAAGATTTTCAAACTCTTGCCATAAAATACTTTTTATCCACCTCAGACAATGTGAGAATTTGGAATGTTTTGGGTAATTTAGAAACCTTAAGAAATCTGTATATTGAAATATGTGCTAAAATCTTTTAATAATTTTCAAAAATTAGCTTCTAGTTAATTTGAATACGCCATGAATCTTATCTTTTTTATTTTAGTTTAAATATTCTGTTAATTGTTTAATATTATTCAATTAAACTAAAATTAACTTAAAATCCATCTAAAAAAGTTATTTTTCAACCTAAAAATAAAAATTCAAATGAAACTTTAAAAAAAGGTTTTATTTTTCCGTCATGAAATAAAAATTATTCGAGGAGTTTTATTTTTTCCGTCAGAAAATAAAACTCATTTTCAATAATAATGCCTTCCCAAGAAATTAAAAAAGCTGTGTTCAGTCACAACTGAAAAATTACCATTCGCCGTTTTTGATTCAGATGTTTTCAACGTCAGTACAAATCAACTATTTAATGGACTTGGTCCATTATAAAAACATTGTTTAATGTTTTGACTGGGAAAATAAAACTCCCCAAATGAGTTTTATTTTCTGATGGAAAAAAATAAAACTCAAATAATTTTAATTTTATGACGGAAAAATAAAACTCATTTTTTAACTGTTTCAATCAGACGTTTATTTTTCCGTTAAAAAATAACTATTATTTGTGGAACTAAGATCGTTTTTTAAATCACCATACTATATTCTGAAAAAGCACTTCAATACGAGTATATTGGTATATAATAGTATAAGTCTACGTTGATTCAATCAATTTTTGATTTTTATTTTTTCTGGCAGAAATAAAAATCAATTTATTCTAATAAACATGTATGTATGTATTATGTATGTATGTATGTATGTATGTATGTATGTATGTATGTATGTATGTATGTATGTATGTATGTATGTATGTATGTATTATGTATGTATGTATGTATGTGTATGTATGTATGTATGTCTGTATGTATGTATGTATGTATGTATGTAGTATGTAGTGTCTGTATGTAGTTGTATGTATGTTGTATGTTGTATGTATGTATTGTTTTCATGTTATTTATGTCTGTATTCTGTATGTATGTCTGTCTGTATGTCTGTTGTATGTATGTTGTTTCATGTATGTACTGTATTTCTGTATTCGTCTGTCTTCTGTACTGTCTACTGTCGTCTGTATGTCTGTCTTTTGTTGTATGTTGTCTTATTCTGTCTGTCTGTCTGTCTGTCTGTCGGTTGTCTGTCTGTCTGTCTGTCTGTTGTCTGTCTGTCTGTTGTCTTCTGTCTGTTGTCTGTATTCGTATGTCTGTCGATGTATGTTGTCTGTATGTCTGTTGTTTCTGCATTATAACGGAAAATTAAAATGGTATGTTTGAATTTTTTTTTCCGATATTTTATTGTATTTGATTTTTTTCTATAAAAAATTCAAAAATAATTATTATTTACGATCCCTGCAATATAGAGATTTTTTTTTTTAAATTTCATAATTGTTATTTACAGTCCCTGCTAAAAAATTATTATTTTTTTTTAGAAACTTGAAACAAAATATGTACATATGAGTGTGTGGCAACCGATATCAAAGTTCTCTGGTGGATTGTAAATTTCCTATGGTGGGAAAATTTTTCATTTTGCTGTGCCAAACTATATCTTTTTTTTTGTGATAAATTTTGACAATTGTCACTTATTAATCCCGAAAAATTAACACTTCCAATAAAAGCAAAACTTTTTTATGTCCCTTATGAATTTTATTAATAAAATTTTTTAATATGAAATGGATTTTAAAATTATATTGTAAATTTTTCTGTTTTTCATTTATTTATTTTTCGATTTGTAAAATTTTTATTTTCTTTTGTCAGAACTTTATGTAGCCCAATGAGCTAGTACAATATTATGCACCTCATATGTATCAAAAATTTACTTTTACCAGTAAATTGCTATCGTTTAGCACACAGCCTATGTATAAGAAATTTAAAATTTATAAAGTATCACGATTTTTACGAAAACTTTATAATCCTTAAGTATGTCAGATAGGTATTTCAAATAAATAAAAAGAGAATGACTCAACCTTCTATTTTTCTACTATATTTTATTCCACAGACGATACTGGTAAATTCAACACACTTGTGATAACTTACTTCTCTCACAATACTTTTTTTGCTTTTAATTAAGTTGGCGGGGCATTTAAGCACTCATATTGCCAAGTTATAACACGTTTGTCCGGAAAACCCCTCCAAACGCCTTATACTTTCATATAGGAAGTCGGAGTACCGAACTTAATTATATGAAAAGTATTATTTGTTCTTCACCAGAAACAAGTTTAAGAGTTTTAAAGGTCTCCACCAGTATATATTAAAGTTTAAATGGTCTTCACCAGGTTATATCATGAGTCCCCACCAGTTAAAAATATATCCTAACTCTGAGGTAAAACGAAAGCAAGCATTTAATGAAGACAACGCATAACATAGAAACAGTTATACGAAGTAATGCATTCAATTAGTGCGGGATGAGAAGTAGCTCTGTCGAAAACTCTGCAACAAGCACAAGCCTGACCGTCCTTAAGATATGAAAACGATAACGCGAGAGTTATTCTCCAACTCATATCTGAATAACAAATGTCTCACAATACTTGAATATTAGTATAAAGACATTTTTTCACAAACACAAAAAAATTTTAAATTTTTTACCAATACATTCTTAGAGTTAGGTACCAAATGACAACTTCTTTAGGTACCAACCAGGGTGTAAAGTATACCGTGGTACCAACTGACAAGTCCCAATTTCTTAATATTCTTTGTTTTATACTATGTTCACACAGTAATGTTTTTTAAGTGTTTTTGTTATGTTTCTTGTTTGAAATGTTTTATAACTATAAAATTAACTTTTAAAAATAAAGAAATTCACTTAAATTACACTGAATTGAAGATTTTAATACAATGTTAAAAAACACAAATGTGAGGTTATTGGTAGTTGGTAAATTGTGTTTTGTATGCTCTTATTAATCTTTTATCAAAATCTTATAATATATTTAAATAATAATAATTTTATAACATATACGTATACTTTTTAAGGGACATTTCGGTGGAGGACTACTTCCTTTTAGTAGAGAGTTTAGACACGGAAGTTGTCGCATTTGCTCCAATGCTAGCATCACATCACCCACGCGTCATTGCGGTTGGAGAGGGAAATGGCAATTTACTTAGGGTGACGTTACTCTTATCAGAAGACTGTAGAATGCGTCGCAATCTTCTGTCTACAAAGCAATCAAAATACAACACATCACCATTGGCAAGTGCTTTAGCTGCAGTAGAAGTTGACTTCAATAATGCTAATGACATTGTGAGTAAACATGAAGTTGTGCAGAATGATGGAATATATCGAAGGGAGAAAACTAAATTTTCAAATAGTAGAGGAGATTTATCGGATATTATAGGTTAGTAAAATTTGTTCCGTATTAAATTTTATCGGATAGTAGAGGTTAGTAACATTTGTTCTTAATTTGTTTTTTATTATAGGGGTACCTCTGCGCGACTCGAGTCATAATGAACCCACAGTTCAAGCAAGACAACATAGGGGAAATAATCACTCCTTTAATAAACTACATTATGGAACAAAACGTCCTACAAAAAATATGTCTTCAATTGAAGTAGGCATGTACGTCTTGTTAACAGCATTTTGCTTTGCAATTGTTGTTTTTGTAATATCGTGTGTTGTTTATGCATCAAAGTTTAAGCCATCTCACATAGAATGTGGTTTAGATTCCTCCGACATCGCAAAAAAAACCCTTAAACAGTGATTTATTAATTCGTGATTCAAAATTTCTAAAAGAGCCTACAACAAATGCGCACGATTGGGTCTGGCTAGGACGATCAACCATGGATAGGTCTTCGATGTTAACATTTTCATCTCAAGACCAAAATATTAATGCTAGAGGTACAACATCGCTGCGTCTAAATATAGAGCTATTGTATATGTATGAACATAGAATATACTGTATGTAGAATGCGCATCTCATATAAAGACAAAAATATTAAAGAAAAAACATTAATTAATACTGGACAAAAAAAACAGAAGAAAAATAAATAGATAAAAGAGCGTAACAATGCGACGCTCTCATCCTAACTACATACATACATATCGCTCATTTACTATAAGGCCGACATAAATCAAAAAACTTCGTTTTGTGTAGAACAGCATTTAATGTTTTATGATATTTTACTATTTTTAAATAACTTAAAAAAACGCCTGGTGGGTTCCCTCTGCCATCTTTTATCTGTAATTAATTGGAGCGTTTCCGCTTTTAGTTGTTTTCCCTTTATAATAACAATGCCAATTTCACAGTGAATTTCGCTTGAATTCAAAGTGGTGGACGCCTTAGCCAAGGTTTCAGATTTTATGTGAGGGTAAACAATGAATGTCTCGCTGCCTCATTAAGAGACACCCGACATTCTTGAATAATATTGGAAGTGGTGTACATGTATGTTCTCAGCGGATCTGATTAACGTTTTACTACCAGTCAGTATAAGGATATCTCCGCCTAATATCCGGTAATAACGAATCTGTTCTGCGGCTACTTTGATAGCCATTAATTTGGCCTGAAGTGTACAGCTGTGATCTGGCAGCCTTATTAAAAGTTCTAAGCTCAACATATTCGAATAGATAACACAGCCGACTTTTTCTTTTGATTCGTCTGTGTAAATTTGGATGACTCTTCCCTTGCGTGTAGGGGTTCCTTATAACAGGATCTCTCCGATATATGCCTAGCCATATCGTTTAACTAGTATACATTTTTAGGATTAATGTACCAGTTGAGTACGATCGTCTCTTTTCATAGTGTTAAGGTTCCAGTCAGGATGCACTAAGTAAGGTGAAATCGTTAAGGCAGCTGATTTTTATTTGTTTATTAAAAAAGTGCTTGGGTTGTGTCAAAATAAATTAATTTATTTTTATTCTAAAAAAAATTATATTTGTGTTTTCAAAGCAAAAAAATTTAAAATTTAAATTTATGAATTAAAATGTTCATAAAAAGTTTTCAAATAAGAAAACTCTGATGAAGAAGCATTAAAACATTGTCCTGCTGCAGATACAAGCTAAATGTAACGACGGTTTTATAGGTAATATTGTGAAATATACAAGAAATATTTCTTTCCAATGTTTGTTATTTTTCAATTTTAGAAATTTCATTTTGACAAAACCCAACTCTAGGCAACAAAAAAATATTGTGTTTGTTGCCGAAACGCTCTCACCTTACTTATTACATCATGGTTCCAGTTTAGTTTGCTGGAAAATAGTTGTGTTTTTATTCGAAGTTTATATAAATTTTCAGTACAAATTTAAATAGGTATAAATTTTATAAGTAGCAATAGCGATAAAACTTCAAAGCAAATTGAAAAAAAAATCAAATTTGTTTGAATTTTTTTGATGTCGAAACATTTGTTTAATAAGTTTGTGTCCGAACTAAACAAAAATTTGAAGATTTTTTATGGCCCTTTGTACTCGAAGTTTTGTCTACACAGAATTTTTTACTACTTTTATTTTTTATATAAAAATTTGTAAATATAAAATTAAAGTTAGAAACTATGTTGTTATTAATAAAAATGTGAGCTTGGTTATAAAATTGTATTAAATAAAAAATAAAACTATAAGAAAATAAGTACGAAAGAAACCAAAACGAATTGTCTTTGTTGTAAGAGAGCGGGTAGTGATACAACCCACAATATAAACGTGTTCTTTTATGAGATGCGCATGCGATTTATATTCTTAAGCTGGAGCCGCACCACGCATTCTACGCGTCTGTCAAAAAATAAGATCAATCTCCGTTATTTATGGACTGATAGAATAGTGAAAGGTTTAGATTCCAAAGATATCCGGAGTCTCCAGAAAATTGATTTCAACTTTTTTCACATTCGTGAGAAGGGAATATATAAGTTTGTCATTCCATTTGCAATTTCTGCAATATAATTTTCAGACCCTATAAAGTATATACTGGAAACAACAACAGCGATTTTTGAAAAAATTAAAGAAAAATTTTAAATTTAACAGTATGGTGAAGGGTATATACATAGATGCCGAATGTAGCACTCTTACTTGTTTTATCAATTTTAATAAATCAAAACGAGTTCAATTGTGAAAAAATAAATAAAAGCTAAAAAAACGCGACGTTCTTAATAAATAAAACAAAAAATGTATGTTTAAAAAACATTCCATATAACTCAAAGCGTAGAATGCGAAGAAGGCATAAAAAGCACTCAATGCTTTGACGCGAAACGCGTGTGGACCTCCAGTTTTAGTTAAAAGCTACATGAAGTTACACATAAATTATTTTGTATAATTAAGGTGCTTATATGATCAAGTGAATAAACAATGCAAAGCTCTTTCTTTAGGTGCGACAATGATATAGTGATGGAAAAACATAATGTTTTTAGGTGGAAAATTAATTTTCTCTATAGTTATTTTTTTAATATTTATCATCTATTATTAGCATTTGATACTTTTTGATACTCAAGTATATTGTATTTATTTATATACAGTGTCTCTCATAAGTATTCGAATTTATGTAAACTATGAAAAGAAACCAAATTTAATAATATATTTTGTGTGGAAAATAAATAAATAAATTTGTTATATTGTCTAGATAGTCCTTAGTTTTGATATCACGCCCCTTAAAAATTGGAAACTTTACATTTACTTAAATTAGTTGTGCTTTTTTAAAGAAAGTCCATGAAACTACTTCACAAAAGTATGCGAATTTTTCCTGTATTTCATATTTGATCATATTATACGATACACAAATTTTAGAATCGCATGGTTTTATGCTTAATATGGCTTTAAGGGGTTACTATCAACCGCATGGATATATTTTTGACCCATTTGGTCCACAATTTTGGGGGATTTGTACCCTCTTTTCATTTTTAGCTATATTTGTAATGTTTTCACCCTTTTTCCAGAAATAAAACTAAAATTTAATATTGGAATTTAATAGAACCCATAGGGTATCTAAAAATAATATTTTTTGTTATAAAGATCTGTACTTAAACGTTCCAAGATGTATTTTTGATATCGTTTTTCACTTTCTAATTGAATTATCTGGATCATAAGTCCCTTTTCGTACCTCTAGGGACGATATTTTTCGACAAAGTTGTCTAGTGTATATTCATGTACATATTGGCACTAATGTATTTTAAATTTTCAATATATTATAGCGGTATACAACCCCAAAACATGCCTTAACAAAACGTCATCCTATATAGTAGATTTCAGTTTTTACTACTCGTAACTTTCACGCTTATGTTGCCCGTTACAATAACACTGTGAGTCCTAAATTTTGGTTTCAATTTGATCATAGTAAATAATATTTAAACACATATCAACATTTTTGATGTGATCATAATGATATCGTGCCATGCAGCATGGAGTCCAGTGGTATATAAAAATAATGATTTTACTATTTTGAATGGTGTTTCTTCGAGGCATGTTTTGGAGTTGTACACTTTCACAACACATTGAAAACTTAAAATGTATAAAAGCTGATATCTAAAAGAATATATACCAGAAAACTTTTCCCGAAAATAGTTGATCCTAGTATTATAAAAATGGACTTAAGTTCCAATATATTGAATTAGCGAAAGAAGAATGATATTATTTTTAGATACCCCAAATTATCTAAATTATTTTTAGATACCCCAAAGGGTCTTTTAAGTCCCAATATCAAATTTTTGTTTTATCTCTGGAAAAAAGGAGAAAAATTTACAATTATGGCCAAAAATCGCTATTTTAATGATATTACATGAAAAGAGGGTACAAATTCCGCAAAATTGTGGACCAAATGGGCCAAAAATATATCCTTTCCGTGGATAGTAACCCCTTAAAACAATATTACGCATAAAAACCATTCGATTCTAAAATTTGTGTTGCGTATAATATGATCAAATATGAAATACAGGAAAAATTCGTATACTTTTATGAGGCAATTTCATGGACTTTTTTTTAAAAAAGCACAATTAATTTAAATCAATGCAAATTTTTCAAGTTTTAAAAAGCGTGATATCAAACATAAGGACTATCTAGACAATATAACAAATTAATTTATTTATTTTGCACACAAAATATATTATTAAATTTGGTTTCTTTTTATAGTTTACCCAAATTCGAATAATTATGAGAGACACTGTAGGTATAGTAAATAAAAACAAAAACCTTTAAAATTAGTTTTTAAAGTTTTAGTTATAAATACTATTTCAAAAAATAAAATATGCTTTTTGTATTTTTATGTAATATTGATCATCAACTTCTAACATATAAATTAGAGAAAAATTATTTTCCACTAAATACCATTTGGTTTCTTTTATCCATCGCTGTATATTAAAAAATATATTTGAAAAATATTTATATGTATTTTTACTAATTAGATTCTAGGATACGAATAACAAATAATCCAATTAGCAGTTATTCTACAAAAAATTCCAAACCTAATGAAAATACTACTACCTCTATCGGGCAATCTAATGGAATTCTGTGTAGTGAAACCAACCAAGTTAATAATGTCATGTAAGTACATTTAAGAAAATGTTTTCAATTCTTTTTCAAGGTCTTGATGATTATAAGTTTATCGAAATTTATATTTTATTTCTTCTTTTTTAATTATTATGGTGCGTGTTATATTTTTCTACGCTTTTAAGAACAAATATATTTATTTTTATTAAAATGTTATTATTTTGATATATGTTTATATAATTTTAAAACAATTAAAATAAATTTTTAACAAAAAGCAAACAAATATTTCGTTTTTTTAATGTTTTTTATCCATTTCAAAAAAAGTTTTATTTTTATACCATTCACCTTCGTGAGAAGGGTATATATAAGTAATTTCTTATAAAGAATATATCGTCACCTAAAACGTAAACGGCCCAATCTAACATTTTTAAAATTTTACAGGAGAAGCAAAAATCTATTTAAATTGAAAAATTTATTTCTATCAACGCGATTTATTTGTAGTAAATAAACAAATTGTTTAATAGTGAAACCTATTAATATACAATACATTAGAATCAACAATAAAATCCATTTTGAATTTTTGGTTAGTTGGGGCCGTTTGCGTTTCAGGTGACGATATACTTTTCCTGTAAAGTATATACATATTCCTTAAGCATAGCGAAGTCGATTAAGCCATGTCCGTCCTTCTGTATGTCAAAATCAATTTTCTGGAGACTTCAGATATCTTTGTGATTTAAATCTTCCAAAATTCTATCAGTCATGGTTTCGAAAGTCCATAAATAATGGAGATATCAGCAAAAAAACAGAGACAACATTGATTTTTTTTTTGCATTCTAACGCAAGAAAACAAGAACGTACAAATTGTGTTTGCTTGTGTGTATGTTGTGTTCGCTTGTGCTGGTTCACACAGGTAAACTTTTTTTGGAAACTTTTGATTTTGTGTTTGAGAGAAAGAGATGGTTGATATTTCTTTCTCTCACACACAAAAATCAAAAGTTTCCCAAAAAAAGTTTCCCTGTGTGAACCGGCACCTTGTTAACGACTGGAAACAACAACAACATTTAGCATATGTTTTTGTTGTTTTGTTTTTATCTTTTGTCTTTGCTTCACAATTTAGAAATGAAATACACTTTTGGAAAAATTAAAAAAAAAAAACATTTAAAATAAATATAAATGTTAGGTAAGGATATAAATCCATATGAACTTGTCTCAAATGTAGTTTCATATTTGACGTATGTTGATATAGAATTTTGTTAGCAATTTCCATTATTACACGCTAATTCACTATTTTTCGTCGCGGCATTTTTTTCTTAATGATTTAATAGTCAAAAATATACAGATTTTGGTTGAAAAAAATTGGAAAATTATGGACATTGTTAAAACATTCAGACAATTTTTTTACTCAATTGTGAATATATCTTGAAAATAATCTTAAAGGATTTTAATGGTCCGAATAAAAATTGTGACAAATTGTTCCCGGGAAATTAAAAAGTCTATTATTTTCATTTGCATTTTTAATGATATGAAATCTCAAATACAGTTTACCATCTACTTAAAAAAAAAAAAAAAAAAACATGTTAAAAATACAATTTGAGGTGTAAACTATTTTATATTAAATAAAAATTAAATTAAATATTAATGTAGATATATTAAATACAGGTAACTCTCGATTTTAATATAACGCATTTAAAAATAGCTCATTTACACGAAAAAAAAATCAACAAATAATTAGTTAATTAATTTTTGATAATAAAAAAATAAAAAAAAAAAATAAATATTGGAACACATTATATAACACATTTTATTTAATTGTTTATATTGAATTTTTAATGATATGAAAAACATTTTAAAAATACAATTTGAGGCGTAAACTATTTTATATTAAATAAAAATTAAATTAAATATTAATGTAACTCTCGATTTTAATATAACGCATTTAAAAATAGCTCATTTACACGAAAAAAAATCAATTAATTAATTTTTGATAATAAAAATAAAAAAAAATAAATATTGGATCACATTATATAATATATTTTATTTAATTGTTTATATTGAATGTCTTTCCAATGCTTGCACAATTTTTGATCCCAAAATAAGATTTATATTAACTCTGAATCTCATGTTATCGATTTGTATTTTCTTCGGTCCGGACAAACCGCGTAAATCGAGGCTTAACTGTATATCAATTAAAGGCCTGTACAAGACAACAATAAGACAACAAATTAAGTCTTATTGTTGACTTATGCAGGCCTTTAATATCAATGTAATAGTACGATACAAATTGTAGTACACGAAGGAATATAATTTGTTTATATTTTTATGAATATTTCTAGCAAAGCTTCAATAAAACCAATTGAGTATCGACCTCCAGTGCCACCTCATCGAAACATTGGAGTAAAGCAAAAAGCTAATTCTAACAGCGTAAATCTGAATAACGTGAGTAAATAAGTCACCCTTCGCAAATGCTTCTCTATAAAATATTTAATATTGATATTTGCAAAAAAATACTATGATACAACAAAATCATCTCTCTCTAAGATTCGAACGATTTCCAATATTTTATTATTGCTAACAAAAGCAATTTTGATTTTTTTAATATTTGTAGAGAATTGTTTGAAAATTATTATATTTATATATGTAGACAGTATTTAATATGTGAAATTTAATAATTCTAGCGATATAATAACTTAAGCCAAAATGTTTTGCAGAGGGTCACCAAAGAAAATGTGAACTTGTCACCAATTGAATCAATTCCATTATTCAATGACAAATGTAGAATGTCAGACATTGCACCGAAAGGTGATCACATTTCACCTGTGGATACGTATATCGCTGACGTCTATTTCCATAATGGAAAAGCAGTTAACAAAGAAAAACACAATGCTGAAAAACTTGTTGATTGTGCTAATCACAAAAAAAATGTTTTCCAATTCGATACATTGACACCGAAGAAACAACCAAACTCATCGGATGTGCCAGAAAAAGGTAAGCTTTCAATTAATTATTTTTAGAAAAATTGGCAAATACCCGGTAAAATGAGATGCTTAATTGGAAAAAGTGTCACAGGGTATACAGAGGCGTCACGAGCAAAAAACTATTTCCCTCTCTTTCGCACAAAACGAATTCAATAATTTTTTTTAGCTGTATTTTATATACCTCTTCTCACCAAACAATTTCAAAATCAAACAAAAGCTGATTTTAGACTTTTTTAAATGTCAAAAGTGACACCTCTGTATACTTTGTGAAAGTGTGTAAATTACCAGAGAACTACAAAAACAATTTATATTCACTTTTATCCATATAACGAAACTCAGTATTGAATAAAATAAAAACAAGTTGGCAAACTATTTGATTAATTTAGATAACTTCAAAACATATTATCATCATGTATTGTTGTTATGATCATATTGGGTTAAAATATGGGTATTTTCACCAAAAAGTTTTTGTCACATCATCTGCAACATGATCAATAATTCTAAAATTCTTAATATAGTATGGTGGCAAGCAGTGTAGCACACTTCACACTGTGCAACCATTGAGCGCAACCAAAGCACTGCTAACCATGTTAAACTTTTTACTAGCTAACTTAATGGCCGTTCAACTTGCCTCAACTCTGCGATCAGACTAAATGCCTGTGGCTCGTGGTCTGGTCACAGAAATTACGGGCACTCTACAATTATAAAACACTTCGAATCACTGCATTTAAATATTGATTATTGCATTATGACGCCCAACTTCGATAATCGCTTTTGCACCAGGTTTCCACATATGAATTCCGAATTAGAACCACCAACCACCTCCAGGTGTAACGAGAGTTTACACTGATAAAGAATTTGGTATTAAACCATCCTTCAGGCTGCCTAACTACGATAGTGTTCTTCAGGCAGAAATATCTGCTATCAAACGAGCAGCGAATTGGCTACTATCACTTATCGGAATGAGTAATTTCATGTCAAGTGGTCCAACTCAAAAAATCGATTTTGACGAAAAGCACTAAGGTTAGTACTATTGCATAGTAGGTCAGACACAAATTTTCAGCTCTATCGTTCAAGATCTATTCAAAGTTGGACATTTTGGTCATACAGGGTTTTATTCAAGTGAGTGTAACTTTTCACCAAAGGTTATCAGATAGCTATTTCTTCATTCTTTCCAATTTTTTTATTAAAAATTTTTTTTTAATAACTAATTTTTTTTTTTCGAAAAGGTCCCTTTCTTTTTGACTTAAAAGGAAGATTATAGAATTTCCTTGAAGGGCTTTATAGTCCCATAATGGGATGCGAGTGGGATATCTATCAAAAAAAATATTTTTTAACTCAAGAATAAAATTTTTTTAACAATATTTGGGACTTAATTTTCCCCTATTTTTTCAAAATGGACGTTTTTGTTGTATTTTTTACTCAAAAGAAAGCTTAGACAATTTCCTTTAAGAGCTTTGTGGTCACTTAGTTGGATGCAAGGGGCATATGTGGAAAAAATAATATTTTAACTCAAAAATTTTGCTTTTGGAGTTAAAATATTTTTTATTTATATACACTCCCGCTCACTTAAATAGGTTCACTGTTTTGTTTACATTCAATGTGAAAAAAGCTGTTTCCAGTATGGCATTACAATTATTACAATTCTTACTAGTTGAAAGAAATTTAAGCTCACATGTTTCATAATACGAAATTGCCCCCACTACATCCCACATCCTCAACAGCTATGCAAACGACTCAGGTAGAGCTCTTCCTTTCAAAAATCATAAAAATAATGATTATATCGATCTGGACCTTCTAAATTAAACATTTTTCATCCGAAAAAGCAAGATGTTGATATAGCTTTTTATAACCATGTGTTCACGTGTAAACTGAAGAGGATTTCTCTTTACGAGTGGCAATTGGAGTGGGTTTTATTAATGTTTTAATATTTCTAAAGCCTTGACCCTTCTTACAATTCGTTTTACTGTAGCTAGGCTTGCTGTAACACCCACTTTTTCTCTAATTTTTGCTACTGAATCACTTGATTTTATGAAATCTCTTCGGTCCGCTTTTGTTTTGACTCTATATGTAGTTCCATTTATGTTTTATTAATATTCAATATGTTTTCTTATAAAATTGCGAATAACATTGTTAATTTGCCCAATTTTTTTTGCCAAATTCCTGAGATTTTGGACAGTTTCCAAAAACGCTTGAATTTTGTCATTTTATTCTTTAGTTAATGGCTTATCGCAACATATTTGTTAAAAAATATATTGTCTATATTCACAGACACTAGAATATGAATGGATTTTACTCACTGTCAGCATTAAACTGATTTTATTCTGATTGAACCTATGTTAGAAAAAAAATGATTAAAAATTCGCTATTAGGTATTGCGCTAATTTTTGTCTCACTAGTAATACCTAAGGCATCATGTTATTATTTAAAATTTTAGTATTACTAATTAGTCCATTATTTTTTGCAATAAATTAATTTGAATGTAATCACAACAGTGAACCTATTGAAGTGAGCGGGAGTGTATATCCCACTAAGTAATCACAAAGCTCTTAAAGGCAATGGACAACAAAAAATTCAATTTTGAAAAAATAGAAATCCAGCAAAAATAGGTTTTACAAGAACCAACATTTTAAGAAGGTCAGTCCATATTTGGCCCTATCCTAATATAAATACTCTTCCAAAAGCAATTTGTTATTAATGAATCCTAATGTTAAGTATTATTATAGAAATACTCAACAAACTGATTTGATTTAAAAAAGGCCACGCTTTGAAATTCTGAAGAACATCGTCCATAATTAAACTAAGCCCTCATTAAGGAAATTATTCCAATGTTCACATTGACTTTAATTCACCTTATATTTACAAGACAGGTGGGTATATAAGATAAGATAAATTTACACTCTTACCTGTTTATTATGGCAGTGAAGCAAAACAATAGTAACTAATTTGTTTTCAATTTTAGTATGAAAATTGCGGTTGTATTTTGTTTACTCAAAAGAAAGCTTAGACCATTTCCTTTAAGAGCTTTGTGGTCACTTAGTGGGTGGGGCATATGTGGAAAAAATTATATTTTAACTCAAAAACTTTGCTTTTGGAGTTAAAATATTTTTTATATATCGAGGGACTATTCAATAGTCACTATCTGCCATTTTCAAGAAAATAAGATTTTTATGTTAAAATATCCAGCAAACTATCCCACATCAGTGACATACATTTCAAAAGAAAAAAATATTTTTTTGGCTATTTTATAGCAATTTTTAAATTTCTGGATCTTAAACAAAGAAAAATTCTGAATGAAAAACTCTCTATCTTATCCAAAAATTGCTCCAAACTCTATTATTTTGGATAATTTTCTGTTGCAAAACAAGTGTTTTTACTAATTTCGACATGCTGAACACAAATCCGCAATTCGGTTTAATAGTTATCGAGATATCGCTCATTATGACACTAATTTGATTAGTTTTATAGCCGTGTTTAACCATATAACATTGATTTTGGACCAAAATCTTATAATCTGTTGCTTTTTCAACAATTTGGTTTATATTATTTCATTAAATTGCATAAAATATAATATTTATTGATATTAAATCAAATAAAAAATTTATATTTCTATGAAAAACTCTCTATCTGAAGGTTGTAAAAAAAATTTCGTAGAAAAACAGCTCTGTATGATATAAATTTTGTGAATTTTTGAAAATAATGCAAAATATTAAATTCTTTTTATATAACGATTTAGAATATGGCCGTAAAAATATATTGTAGAAGAAAAAATTTAAAAATCTTCACGAACTACCGAAATAAACAGTTTTTTTTGCTTTCCTAAAAACTTGTGTTATTTTACATAGAGACTATTGAATATAGTCCCTCGATATATACTCAGCCAACAAAGTCTGCGCTCACCTTAGACATTTTTGGGAAAAATAAAAAAACACATAATAAATATTGAATTCAAATCAAAATTTTTTCATAAATAAAAAGAGATCACTTCATTTTTAAAATAATTAGTCATTAATGCATTATCAAATAAGTATAACGACCAAAAAGTCTGCGTTCAAGGTTTAAAAAATTTTTGAAAGTTTTAATAAATATTAAAAAATGTAAAATTTAATATTTTGTTAGATAGCCACGCTGTTTTAAGACTTCACTCTATTTGGCTTAGAATGACCAATTTCCCTGTTTCCTCTGCTGTTATCTTCTCCCATTCTTCCTGCATAACAGTTCGTAAAGTTTCCTTGCTGGCGAATTTTGGAGCTGTATGCTTTGGATCGTTATCTTGTTGGAACAAAACGTCGATGATAGGTTAAGTTTTGCTGCACTTTGTTTCAGGTTTTGTTTTAAAATGTTCAAATATCCATATTTATCCATTGTCGATTCAATAAATTCAAGTTGACCCACCCCTGAAGCCGCCATGCATCCCCAAACCATAACTCCACCACCACTACCATGTTTTACTGTACCAACAACATTTTGTTTATCAAGCGCAGTTCCTGATTTCCGGCACACAATTTGACGACCTTTTATTCCAAAAATGCAGAACTTACATTCATCTGAAAATAAAACTTGTTTACAAATTTCTGGGGGCTTATTTATGTAATTACGGGCAAATTCGCGCTTCTTTCTGTTTACAGCAGATATGTATGGCTTTCGTCGAGCGACTCTACCATGATATCCAGCTTTGCGTAAAATTTTTCTAGAAGTTTCGCGACAAATACTTTTTTTATACCCTCCACCACCATCAGAGGTGATAGAGGGTATATATAAGTTTTTCGTTCCGTGTGTAACACCAAGAAATATTCATCTAAGACCCAACAAAGTATATATATTCTGGGTCCTTATCAAATTCTGAGTCGATTTAGCTATGTCCGTCTGTCTGTCTGTGTAAAACACGCTCACGTTAAAACTAAGCAAAGGAAATCAACCAATTTCGCCCTAAATATTTATTATTATCTTAAGCAGTTTGGTATTGAAAATCAGCAAAATCGGTTCACAACGTAAAAAGTTATGAGTAAA